TGAAAAAATCGGGTCTCACTCAAAGCGATCGAATTATCGGAAAGGTCGAATTATGGGGGGTCGAATTATCGGCAATCGACTGTACGCGTATTTATTCACCAAGAATTATAACGAGTCAGTGATGGCGAATAAAATAAAAGTCACATGATGATAATACAGAAATATAGTCTAAAATATGGCGCAACGGGCTACGCCATTGATTACGCTTCATTACATTGATCGTTTCGCGTTATTATTATAAGATGGTTAGTATATCTAATTTAAGTAAAAAGCAAGTCTTGAATTGTGTGGTGGGTTTGTATGTTATCTGAAACACCGACTCAAATTTCTTTTTGTCCTCAGCAAGTTCAACTTTTCTAGTTTCGACGGTCATGAAGACTTTGCTTCAATATTACGGTCTATGTTCATCGAAACTTCCAGCATTCGATCCCGAACTTGCGAAGGCATTAAATGAGGGGATGTACCATATAACTGTCATCGTACCTGCTATTCGAGCTTCATTGAAAAATCTTCCCATAGGAGACGCTTTTTTTATTAGTACGTCGGAGAAGCAAAGTATCGCAAGTACTAATAGAAAGGGAGAGGTTACATGGGAAGACGTCCAGATATTATGCTTGTAGTAAAATATCTGGAAACAGTTTTTGAACTTATGTACGCAGAATGCTCGAGATTAATTTGTAGCCCACAAAAAAAGACCGACGATAAGATTAAGCTATGGCGAGAAACTAATGACGGACTATATTGGGTACGCCAAAGTCTTAAACCAGATAAAGAACAGAGCACTTTATTCCGGGTCAAATATCTCTGGGACTTGTTTCAAAAAGAATTAGACGCCTTTCTATCATGAACTTTTACAGAAAATGTGTTGGGAAGCTGACCTTGGCACCAGGAACCAGTTCCTTCCACAAGATACAATTTATGTATACGTGACAACCGCTACAGAGTATCTGACTAAACGAGCCAATGCAGCAAATGACCCTGCTCTCATCATAGATGGCAAAACTTTGGCCAAGATATTTGACTATCCTGGCGAACTTATTCATGACGTACAACCCGCATCCAAAAAGCAACGAATAACAGAGAAGGAGGATGGAAAAACGGGGTTCGTGGCAGACGGAGTGGCAGGGGTAGAATTTGCGAAATTTTCCACAAATACTATTACTATTATTATTATGGCAAATACATTCGATAAAGTAAAATAGAAAAAATTCAGGAGGCAGTCACAATTGTAATAACATTTGGAACACTGACACCATAATAATAATACTTTTAAACAGTTAATGATTACGAGCATGACCAAACTTTATTTTTACTATATCATGCGTCTATCTCCACATCGCAAAGACAAATTAGCAATGACATCTCCATTGACAATTGGAGTTGCAAGTTGGCCTCCCATCTGAAAGTGTTTTGAGTATTAGTATTTCAATGATTTAGAATCCAAAAGGACATTAGTAACTAACAGTTTGTCTATTCTGATTCTGATTAAAATATCATCCAAACTTTAGACCAAAGATGGACATATACTGTGTATGTGCTTTTACTTATCTTTAATATTAGTGAAATTTGCATATCTAACCTTTCATCTCTAACTATTACTATGTCAATCAAGTATTTAAGACCTGCATTAACACACACTGAGTGAGTTTTACTTTTTTATTTTTATTTTTAAAATTTGGTCCCACTCTTTCAATATCAGTCATCAATTCTTCAGAACCCAATTGTAGTTTTGTCTTGTCCAGTAGTATGTTTATGTATGTTTTAGGACAGTATATATATTAGACTTATTTTAACCGAGTTAGCTTGCAATAGCCGCG